CTTTTGTGACAAAATAAGAAGACTTGTCTTCTGAAAGGATAGTGCTTCAGGTGGTACAATCGATTGCTTTTGCTCCAAAGGCTTCATCTTAATTTCTTTGATCTAAACACAACTGTGGATCCTGGCAAAGTCAGCCCAGTGTTGCCTCTTGAAATTGTACCTCAGGCTAAACTCTCCAAATGCAGCTATGCATCTTGAGTCTCTCCGTTTGCCATCTTCTATCTGGACTTGCAGATTGGTACAAATTTTGAAAATGGAACATTAACTCCATTTATAGATATGTTCCAGATTGTAACTGTCTCCCAAATCTACAAAGCGGGTCATACTTTAATTTTAAAATAACGTTGTCAAGGTTGTTACTGCAAGAACTGTAGAGACTGTTATAAACTGTTATTTTCTTTTTATTTCCTTGTTTAAAGGAATAAACAGCAACACCTGGGAAAAGCAACTTAGGAACACAAGGGGAAAAAAAATGATGATTCAAGAAATTTCAATGCAGAAAAATCATTAAACTCAGCCTGATGTATGAGCAAGTGCCAGGTGAAGGCTAGCTGTGCAATTATTGTAATTAAATTTAGCTCTCTAGAATACCTGCGGAAGAGCTGATCCTTTGCTGTTCTCAAACCTGCACCACAATTCTGCACCCCAGGCACTGAAGCAGTTGTTTCCCCTCCCAAGCCTCCCATCCCTGCCACCTGTTTTGCACCAGCTTTATTGCTTGTACAGCTGGAGGAGAAGTTGCTTGTGCCAAGTAGGCAGGGAGATCAGATAGGCAGGGATGGGGGGATGCAAAAAAAGCCTTCTAGCAGTACCATTGGTTTAAACTGCCCGTGAAGCCAGCTCACCAAGCGTGGAGGTGGCAGCTTGTGTAGGTGCTTGTTTGGTTGCTGGTGTTGACCCCAGTGAGGTCTGGGAGGAGCAGCATAAAAAATCAGTTCCTGTCACAAGTGCTGTCAAAATGTGGGGGCTAACAACGTACCCTTAGGTGGGATCGTGAGGTTCAGAGGTAAAAGTTTCTTTATTCATCATCATCCTAGTGATTTAAAGTTTGACTTTATTTTAAATTTCCATAAATACTTTGACAGTGTCTTCTTAAAGTTCCAGCTGGAAATGACAGGAGTTGAGATCTGCATCTGTTCAATGACAGTGAATTTTAACTAGTATAATTGGATTTTGTAGTTACATCTGCACAGTGTTGATTCTCCCCAAGAGAGATCCAGACTCTCTTTAAGCTAAACCATCAGTTGGCAAACAGCAGTGTGAAGGTTCTTCTCCATGCATGTTGTCAAGGCTATGGACATCTAGTTAGCTTTCACTAGAAAAGTGTGCAGGGAGGCCTGAGGAGAAGACAAAAAGGTATTTCAAAGGCCGTAGGTCACTTGCTAATATACGGTTTAAGAGTTTTGTGTCTGTTAACGAAATGTTGATTTTGCAAATGCTTAAGTGGAGTGCTTAATGGTCTGACTGTATGTGGCCTTTTTGCTTCAGTAGAGCTCCTTATTCTCTGGAAGATTAAATATACACCCAGGAGTTGGCAGAATCAGAGCCTAATATTGCAAAGGCAGTTATCTTTTGTTAAATATTTTAAGACACTCTTTTTACCATGGCCAAAAACGACGTGTGAGTGGGGTATGTGTGCTTGAGCAACTGCCACCATTTTAGTTGATGTTGTAGCGACCCTTCAGTTACCTATGCATTTTTTTATAATACCTAGTGATTCTGCAGGCAGGCAGCCATGTTCACTATGCCTTGTATGTCTGATGCCATATTTTAAATTAACCTGTTAAATACAGCTTAAAATATTTTTATTTTATTTATTCTATTTTTACTGAAATATCCTGCATTATTATGTTGATGTATTGTCTTTACTGGACATGCTCTTGTAACATTCTCCATTATGTATACTATAGGTTGCCTTAAAAAAGGCAGGCTTTGTAATTATTTGTAGTCACATTTTTATTGAAGTCTGTAGAAAAACCATGTAAAGCAAAGCTAATTTCTTAATTTTTCAATGCAAGTAGTAAGTTAGAGGTAAGTATCACATGTCAGTCATGTCATTAAATGCTCCCTTGCAGAAGCAAGGGGATGTATGTTCACAGTCAACGACTAAGAGATAAAAGCCTTTCTTTTGGAATCTGCAGTGCTGGCTGTAGGTTTTATTTAAGCCACTTACTATTTCATTTGAAGGGGAGCAAGGGGGTGTGGGAGGTATAGGGCTACAGAGGCCACCTACAGGGTGGTTAAACAGGAATAATAAAAATTGCATGGATGGGCACAGGATCCCTTCACAGTAAAATGAGATTTTAGCGATGTACTTTGTGTGCAGTCACCTGTACCTATTGAAACAACAAGCTCTCTCATGACAGGAAGAAAAGCTGTGGAGTATCTAATAGCTTACACCAGTTCTGTGTCACTAAGAGTTCCCCATCCCTTTTCCTTTTATCAAGCATTTAATAGATCATTTAACTAGGGATCTAAAAACATTAGCAAATTACCCATGGAAAATAACTTTCTTATTTCAACAGCTAAGATGGGCTCCACCTTTCAGCATTACCATTAACCCCATTACTCCTTTCTTGGGCAGGCTAATTAACACATGGCTAAAATGTGTGCTGTACAGTCAGCAAAAGCAGGTTTGGTTTATTTTAACAGCAATAAGAAAGAAGGAAACACACCCACTGTTTATTAGCAGGGCTCAGTTTTACGTAAAGTACCTGATTGACATTGAAAAGGGCAATTTTCCCTGCTGTTGACCACTTCTCCACATTTAAATGTAATCTGTTCTGAGAATAAATTTAGCTGCATAAAATGACTGTCTCAACTGTTACTGGTCCATGAAATTGGGAAATTATTTATTTTGTTCCAAATAGTGGTTGAGGGGATGACAAAATATTCTGGTTGTTTAGAGGCAATAGGAGTGTAATGGACAGTTTTGTATCTGGAAAGATGAATCAGTGGTTCCTAGTTGAAAATTACAAATATGTAACTGGATTCAAGACAGTTACACGAGATACAGCTGTACTGTAAAAAGTCATCTGAGTTGTTTAATTGGGGATGCAGGCTTCTACCTGCAAGCCATCTGAAGTCAGTCCCAAATGTGGCCACTGTGTGATGTGCACACAAAGCAAGCTGCTGACCTGCAGAATCAAAATCTGTATTACAAGCTCCTTGATATTCTTGGTAAGACATCAAGATCCTAACTGGTATGGCCTCAGTGGCATGTCAAAGGCACAAACCAGTGAAAGCAAGATGAGGCTGATTGTGGGACAACATGATAAAAAAGTAGCCCAGAAATCCTATCATCAGACAAATGTATTTTTTTTTTCACAAATAATTTTAATTACATTTAATAAACAAGTTATACAGATTTTTATTTTTTAGAAATAGAAATCTGAGTTTCTTTTAAGCATTTAACATCCATATTGAAAAAAAAAACCAAAACAAAACTTGGAAAAACAAACCTTGAAATCTCTAACTTTCTTTTCATCTAACATGTAGAATTTCTCCTCCTCCGAGATGGTTTTGAAATAAAATTAAGAGGTTTGGGATTTTTTTCAGTTCTGTGCATTGCAAGCACACAGATCTAGTTGTATCCTTACTTTTCATTCAGAAACCAGAATGGTCAGAGTTCATCCTTTTACTGGAACAGGTAAGGAGCACAGGTTACTCGCAGGGATATACAGCAGGTGAGTGATGCCTTTGAATAGGACAGCTGGCTCAGATTAACATTCTGGAAGAAATTTTCACTGATTCAGTGAGCAAGGATATTTATCTGATGAACAGCCAGCTGTCTACACTGCTGATGTATTATCATTCACATCCTTTCTTCTCGAGGTAGCGCTGATCTGCCTACTGGTGGTGAGGAAAAACAGATGTTAAAACATTTTCTCTGGATGGGTCTAAATCCAAAACTATGTCAACTAGGTTAAGATTCTGTACCATATTGTTGAACTACTGGCAACATAAAATGCTTGTGTAGAGGAAAATTTGTCTTCAGGGCCACAGCTACCTTTGCCTTTCTATATTGCTATGTTACTTTTGTTTCATTTCTACTACAGTAAAACCTAAATAAATACAACTCGAGGTTCCTCTTACTGTCATTGTTTGCCATTTTCCTTCTTTATACTGCCCATATTTAATACTAAGTCAGGTTCTTGGTAATTATGTGTGCTTCATTTTTATCCTCTGCTCAGACTAAGACAATTGCAGATATCTTACAGTTCTTTTATATTTGGCAGCAAGAGGGAGCAGGTTAGAAGTCCACAGCTGTTTCCAAAGACAGTCTACTCTGTTCAGTCATTATTCAGCTGAACAGAAGTAAAATTTATGAAAATAACTTCCTTTGACAGTAGCAGCTCTTTTCAGCTAAGAACTGCCTATGTTAAGAAAGTTCATGAAAAGCAGTTATGAGCCATGCCATAGTCTGACATATGATGACAATTCGGTATTTTTAGCATGAAACTATATAGTTTCCAGGTGAAGCACACCTGAGTAGAAACCAACAGAACAGGTACTGGAAAGCCTGTGCATGGGCTTTAGTGTACTTGGGCAGTTGCCTGTACAAAAGTTAACTTCTAGTTTTAAAATAGAGGTGAACTAACTGGCTTACTGTGCAAGGCTTACTTGCCATGTGTCACAGTCTAAATAGTAACTTACAAAAACTGTATCTAGCACATGTAAAGACAACCACTGAAAAAAATGCAGTCTCACAGTAAAAAAAAATCAGTTTGAAATATGAGTGTCCCTACAGATCTATGAAGGTCACGGGGGGAAAACCTGCATGTTTTAACTTGTCATTTTATAAAGCACAGCAAAAAGCTCTAGTTTTGACCTCACTCCCCATTGAACCATGTATCAGTCTTATGTAGCTGAGCTGCATTCACTTTAAAGTGTAATTGCCAATTTAAAATTACTGTATAACATGGATATTTCCATGCAAATATCCCATAATGTATATATTTTCCACAGCAAGATTATCCTGCAGAAAAATATACTGTAATCTAAGTGTAATTATTAATATTACATAGGAAAGTATTTCCTTCTGTGTAAAGGTAGGGACAAGCTTTGCAGACGCCTACAGCCATCTGCGAGGATGGCTGAGCACAGACTGTAGGAGTATCCTTACCACCCTTTGCTGCAGCCCAGCAATGAAAGCAACGACGCATTGATACCCTGGGTTTACTTCCTTGCAGACTTAGGTCTGGTGTTATCCCTGGAGGAAAAGCAATTTCCACAGTCTTCAATGAAAGCTTTCTACGTTCTGTGTGTGCCTTTCTAGCAAGTGTCTGCCTTTCATATGTCACTTTGCCCGCGGGTGACAAAGGAGGTGTGTGCTTCAGCACTTGAGGCAGAGCTTTGGCTGAAACAGGCTTGATCGCCTTCTTCAGCTGAACCGAGCCACTTGTTTGGTTCATGGTCTTTTGTTTTATGTCACCAACTGCTTTAGAGACTGAAACTTCAGCCTTCATCGTGGATACAACTTGATGGTACAGGAACTCTGCCGTCTTCAGCTCCGTGCCCCTACTGGTAACATTACGTCTGCGCTTTTTTGCTTTCCGTTGCTTTTTTGCTTTTTTCTCTGAGTTTTCTACAACAATGTCATCTAGCAGTTCTTCTGATGCAGCATGAGGCAAAGTGTCTTTAACAGACACATTCTCAGAAGTATCTTTCTGAAAAATTTCAAAGAAAGTAACAATAAGCCACAACACAGAGCTGCAAACTCAATACTTTAATGCCAGATTCCTCAGAACTTACTCCACAAGAAAAAAATGGCAGAATCCAGCAGGAAACCCCTTGTGATAAATTATAACCAAACTATTTTATTCAAGAAATGAAGGTGACTAATGCGTGTCTGAGCATTTGCTCTTCAGAGACTTTGCCCTCTGTGGCCTGAAGAGGGAAAGCTGAATTCTAGCCTTGGTACCACATCTCCCACATTGACTTGCTCTGTAACATGTCTGTAGTAACATGCATATACATACAGTGTGTATCAGAAACAGTTATTAAAATGCAGAAATATTATAAATAATGTTAAACATCAGTAATTTTCGTGATAATGAAAATCCCTTCTCATAATGCATAAGCAAGGAACTCTCAAACTGGATTAACTAGGAACCAGATCAATATCTATACAGGTAAAGAGAAGCAATGGGCAAGAAACTATTTACAACTAGCTAAGAACAAGTATTGTATAAACAGAGATTTCTATTTAAATTATAAGTACACATTTTCTGCCTTGCATGAAGTCTTCATTTTCATAATGACCTAAAAATTGGCAAAATATATAAGCAGTTGCTTCTGTGCATTAGAATTTTGACTAAAAATAACTCAAATCAACTACTTGGAACAAAACTGTTTCTCTGGAGGAAGAGAACATGGTGGACAGATGTACACAGCAGAACTACCTAAAACCTACTAGCTAAGAGAACCAGGTTAAAAAATAAAAAGATCAATAATAGATAACTTGAAAGGCTTTTAATGTGTGATTCTCTACTTCTAATAAAATCATCTAATTCCCCAAAAGACACAAGCCTCTTTCAAGCACTGTAATTGCAGTTTGACAGGAAGTGGTACAAATAACCAAGTAAGATCTCATATTTTCAATTAAATTCTAATGAAAACCCCCTCCCTTTCTTTTTTTGGTGAAAAAAGTCCTGCTTTTCTCAGACACGAGGAAAATGATGATCAGAGATGCAAACTAGCCTGTCAAGGGATCCCTTCCTCAGGATTCATGCCAAGACTTTTCCATTTACTCAGCAAAAGCCCCCCTGCCTTTCAAGGCCCATTTGCATATGCCTTAGTTTTGGAAGGAAACATTCACACCTATTTTATTAAAATTATAATGAAGTCTCAAATCCCTCGTGGTGACACTCTCTGCTTGGATACTGGTAAATCTGGGTGACACATACAGACGTAACAAACAACAATATATTATTTCTAGATATTCCTAGCACTGGTGTATATTAATAAACTGCTCTGATCATGAAAAACTGCAGAAGAAAAGGCATGTGTAGGAAGCATATGTTGTACTCATCATAAAATTCTCTAAGTGGCACACTCAAACTGCTCACCTATCTTTGTTCTTAAGACAACTAAAGAACAGCCAGGAATTAATTTTAAATGATCCATTTCATATACCCTTTTGTGGAAAATAGCAAGTCTTTTTCTGTTGAGTGTTTTTAAATGGTAATTTTCTTAGCTTACCTCTCTTTGCAGAACAGCCAGAAAACAGCCACTGGAAATTTCTGATGGCTCCATTTTGAAAAACAACTCAGTGGAAGTATTTGAATCGGAGCAAGTATTAAAAACAGGAGGAATAAGCCTGTAGAAAATAATAAAATAACCAGAAGATAATGTTTAAGGAGAGAAAAAAAGAAATAGAGATTTACTAAAAGTCATTTCCAAGTTGTGCCTTTCAGTGGCATTTATAGAGAGCCTATTCTCAAAAAAAAACCCTGCCATTTAAGAAAGTCTTGAGAATTAATCTTTTTAGAATTCATTGTATTTTTTCCAATAGTTAAGTATATTAACCACCAGATAATAAATATGCATGAATACAAATTAACAGCTATGTTCTTTCTTAGGTCTGTGATTACTGGGTTATCAAATTGTCCATGAAATTGGGGAATGCTCTGGAAACACCAAGCAGTACACAGAAACTGCAGAGGTGATGACTTTGACTTATTAAGTATATGCTCATAATAAATATCCACCTAAGCTAAAAACCTTAGGTTAGAAAAAACTGCCTATTTGTAGGACCTGAATGCTGTTCTTTTCAAATTTACAGTTTTGCATCAAACAAAAATACCAAAAAGGAAGAAAAAATGCACCAAAAGGAATGGAATGAAAGGCAGTAAAAAACTATCTTAAATGTTAATCTAATACAAGATTGATCAGTCTAGGTTAATAATTATGCTATGATTTAAAGTTATACTTAACTTTTCCATAGACAAAACTACTCAGTGCATACCTATATGGTTCTGCTTGTTTTCCTTCCACTTCAGATTTCAGTGCTTTTTTCACTACTAGTTCATTTTCTTCTGGGTAAACCGAGCAAGTGCAGTAAACAATAGCTTGGACTTTGTCAACTACAAAACAAACAAACAATTCCTACTTTTCTTCATACAGGTTTTGTAAGGACTGAAATTTTTAGCAATAAAGTATATTCTCCTGCATACATAAGTTTTCAATCTCTAGTGGTTTTTAATAATTAAAGTGTTCTTAAATATCTTGCAGATTTTAGCACAAATTCAGGGCTGCTCTCCAGTCTTTTTGCACAGCTACCAAAGAAACAAGAAAGAAACTCGCAGATGGAGTCATACTGCATTTACAACTTTTCCAAAACAAGAGTATGACTGAGCCAATTCTCCATATGATGTTAAAGATTATTGTATTAGTGACTGGTGAATACTAGGGCAGAGATACACCTTTAAACTTAGTATTATTTTTAATGGGGTTTGGTTACACACTTACCAGCAAGTAATAGAGTAATCTTCAAATTTTTAGCTATCTAAAAACTGCTGGCAGTACGATGGAATTTATAGTACGAAGTGTTCCCAGAAATCCAAGAGCTAGCACACTTACATTTCATTGCATGCATCAACTCATTCAGCTGCCTCTGAGCAAGATTGTTGAGTTTATCCTCAGATACACGTCCTTGGTAAACGTCTCTTAGCAATCCTGCATCTAAATGCAAAGAGTTGTAAATGTATTAATGCAACTTGTAGTAGTGTCTTAAAATTCAGCTCTTTGCAGAAAATGCTTTGGTAACAGACTTGATTATTACTGGTGCAGTGAGAAGGTAGGCTTTATGCATTACAATACCAAGGAATGCCTAAATGATTCTTCTTTACTCTCTTTACCTGTAATCACTACTGCCTCTTATTTGTTTCTATTTAATGAAAATTGTACAGTGAATAGGCTTATACAGTCAATAATGTATTCAAGGGAAAATTATACATACTTATTGGTATCTTGTAATACATTTTCCAACTACAGTCTTTTCACTTGCAAAGAAAGGCTATATACACTCTGCTCCCCAGAATAACTTTCCAACTTCATACTATTGACTTGAAATTGCCTTTACAAAATGCTCTTAATACTTCAGTGCCACCTAGATTTTTCTTGTTGAGAATCCCATGTTTGGCCAAATACATTCTTGCCTACTTCGTGTGGAAAAATCATCTTATAATTTTTTATTCTATTTTGTTTTTCCATGGTAGCCTGCATGTACGTTACACATACAGAATTATGCAAGTTGTTTCATATATATGTTTTATAGCTGTTAAAATAAAAAGCTAAAAGGAAGAGTATTTTATACAATCATACAATTTACTGAAACAGCTATGATGTCCAGCCCACAGTGCTTCAATACTATTCCTACCAAGAAGCATGAGCTAGCTACTGTATTAAAAGTTACCTCCGTGGTCATGTACAATAAAGTCTATTGGATTGCCAACACCCAGTCCAGAGCACTGTGGTAGCAACAAAATAACTTTTGCCTTTTTAAGTCTCCGGTTTCTTGGGTCAATCTCCATAAAGTCTTCATGTAACAACTGAACATCTGCAAAAAGGGAAAAACTCACAGTTCCACATACAAGCAAGCCAGCCTAATTTCAATGTGAGAAAGGTGAAGAGCCTGTGGTGTTAAACAGACTTCCACAGAGCTACAGCCTGCTAGACCCACAGAAAGTGCTCTGAAGTATGACCCACTGATTTCAAACAGATTGAAGGACTAGCTAGACCTCCACATCTTCTGCTGAAAAGACTCCTAATGGGGTTCCAGAGTCTTGTTGCATTCTGGTTTTTACTGTGTCCTCAGGGTAAACTGGACAAGTGCAGGGGCTTTGGATTAACACACTCAAACAGCTGAAAATCAAACTGAAATAACAGCCAAGACACCAAATAAGTGGATCCAAAAGTTCCCAGCTACACCAGCTGCTAAACAGCAACTACTTATATGGAAAAATTCACCCTGACGTTTCAGGAGCCTGCATCTACCATGACATGGTTAATCAACTTTTGATTAACTTGATTGTATCTAAAGAGCTGTCAGTTCACCTTGTGGCAAAAAAAAAATGAGTTGCTGTTGCCCTCCCCAACTCTTATCTCTGAATTCTGATTGAATTACACTATATTTATAGATAGCATAAACATCTGTATTACAATACACAGACCAATGGCTTTAACACCTACTTTCACATCCCATGTGAAGGAACAAGTTCATCAGTTCATCTGCTTTTGCTGATGATTTCACTCCACAAACAAATATATTGGATGTGCTGTGATTTGTCAGCACTGACATATGGGCAATGGTCAGATAGGAACCTACATGGGCCACAAGAATGTCATCATCTTCATTCAACAGCACCTGTGCAGAGTGTACAGCAAGGCTGCGAGACTTATCCTAGAAAATAATGACAATAATTGAGTATCACCAACTAATCTGGCTTCTATGAATGCCAAGCTTCTTTTCTGAATTTGGAAAGTATTTCATTGTTTTCTTGACATATATGAAAGCAGACAGGAGAAAATCTAATGATAGCCGCTAATACAGAATTAAATCAAGTACAAAAACCAAACATCTTACTAAGTCACTAAATTTAAATAATTTAATTCTTGATAACACATATGAAAGTTTTACATCAATAAGTAAAAAGAATCTATGTATCACACATGTGTGCATCATCTCCATAAGGAGGAACTCTTGGCAACAGCCCATTCCAGAAAAGACTTGGGCCTCAATATGCAGAATTCATCCTCAGAGGCAGCTGAACAGCAAAATGCAAAACTACTCACATAGCTCTTCATGGTAATTAATGTGAGAAATTAAGCCCTCGCAGATCAAAGACCAAGATTTTGCTGCCATTCAAATAACAAAGAGGCAGCTTTGAATGCAGAAAGCCCAGGGACCTCTCAACAGAAGTAAATGATCTCATACTACAGGTGATGAAGAGACAAAGGTCCATCAAATGTTATCCCCACCAAATTACTTCACAAGGCAAAGACTGAAGGCAACAAGTACCATGCTTTGCACCAAATCTGGCAAACACTGATGATAAAGGGCAAGGAGAAATAAAACAAGACGCTAAACTTTTGAGTTCACATCAGTGTCTACCTATGCACTTACAGCATTCAAGTACCCTCCCTCCCCAGCAGAGGGAGACGGGAGTTTCTCACTTTGAATATTAAGTAGTAATACTCAACATTTGTTCCCGTGATCTATGGGGCTGTCATGTATAGTTCTTTTCTGTAAGTCTTCTATTCAAAATATTCATACTGAAATTAAATATTTAGTATTTAATGATTTTGTGAGTTGGTTAATAATTTTTTTTAAATTCCAGAAAATGCTAAGTATCAAGTGAAAATGTCCTTTGAAATGTTTCTGCTAAGCACTCAAGAATCATCAGGCACTTCAGGTAATTTGTGGTTGTGTGTTGCACAGTTATTCCAAACCATTGCTCTAAAACAGGAACGTCTGTCTCGTCTTGCCTGGATAGGCTAACAGTGGCAAGTCAGGAAAAATACCAAGGATATTTTATGAAGATTTAGGAACCACTCTGCACATAATACTAAGAACTGTCCTCATTCCACTGCAAATATGCAGCTGAAGAGATATTACAGTATTAGCGATACCATTATCTACTAAATGGGGGTAATGCATATAGGGATCTGTAGAAACTTTCCTCACATTTTCAAAACTGAGCCTGCCTCTTTGAACTGTTTTGATATTTATTTCAACTGTTTTAAGATGAAATTTAAAACATTCTACTAACTGTAGCTACCAATTATAGGCCTTAACATCTGCATGCTAAATTTAGTAAGTTAAACAGTTTCTAACCTTCTAATGATTAAAAATGTCCAAAACCTTGTGAGAGTTTGTAGCTTCCTGACCGATTTAACAGAATAGTCACTCAGTACATGACCTCATTCTAATGCAAAGCATTATTGTAGTTTTCAGTTAAGATTATTCAACTCACCTGCAGTAAGAGTTTGCAATCTGCAAAAAGATCTAAATTAAACAGTTCTTCTTTAAGAGAGGAAGGAAAAAACAATACATCCTGGCAATATTGGTCCAGACAGTATGTGTAATGGTCCAAGTCTGACACAGATTCAACTCCTGTGAATCCCTTCTTCTCCAATTCCCTGAAGACATCTTCAAGGCTGTTAACATACAACTCCGGCCATTAAATATACAAGAGTTACTTAAACAATAAAGTTCACATTGATTATATGGATTTTGTGTTTGTTTTTTTTTTAGTGTGTTTGTGTCTGTGCTTGTGCATATATAGATACATATTTTAAAAATAAATATGCAATATAGTCTACTGCTGAAATCTGAAATCTGCTACCTGTATTTTAGGCATATAAGTTCTCGTTTGAAATAATTAAGTTAATACGTCTGATTAAATAGATTAAGAAAGAGGTATGAGTCTCTAGAGGATGATTCAAAGCATCAAAACAACCATATGCTCAGGAGACACTGTAGCAAATTTACTACTGGAACAGTTTAGTTCTTTCAATTGCTTTCAATTTAGCCCAGCTCTCCAATGAATTTAATGGCTTATATCTGAAACAGTCTTTGTGTAAATGTAATAAAGGCATAAATGCCTACAATTCAAATATCATAAAGATTTAAAGGTGTATACACTAAGGATTGTTTGGTGAAATGCAGTTTCAGACAGTGCCATAAGCTTATATGGTACACTAACCATAGGGTCAATGCAGCAGCTTTTAGCTCACGTCACAACCAGAATAAGACACCTTCTCTAACCTGAAAAGCCAATAACCTTAGCACAGTACATTGGTCCAACAAAAGAATATGAAAACAAAATTCTTGAATAATTATAAAATGTATTACCTAACAAAATAGATAACAAGATGACCTGTTATGGTTCATATGTCAGCACAGAACTAGGAATACCAGTGTGACATATATAGTAGCCCACCAAATACAAGGATTTCAGAAAGTGTATTTTTATTTCAAGTTTATACTATCCTTACAGAATAAACACTAGTATAAAGTATTGTATTGTATCTGGCTTAACACTCTTTGCTGACGTTATGGCTTAGATTAATACACCTACTTTTAATAAAGTTTTCTCTTTCTCTGTTTTTCAACATGGATTTTACTCACCCATATCATTTTTTCTTACTTTATTTCCTCATTTATTTAGTGAAAGACAAACACAAACAACAGAGTAGTAAGAAAAACTGTCTCATAACTTTTTTACAATGTATTAACACCATTACTATTAATAATATAACCTGGAAATTCTGAAACAGGTGTGTAGCAAACTATATCACTTCATATGTAAAAACATCAACATTAGGTGATACTTTAAAGACCCTACCTGATTTTAAATGTGTTTATCCAAGCACATAAAGGTAATGCAGAGGCCCTTTGTTCCCGCTTCCGTACGGTTTCTGGTAGAGAGGATTCAATTGAAAGAGCACCGTGTTTGATGCGGTATCTTGCTAGTGCAGCTGCCAACTTGGTCTTAAAACTACAAAAACATAATGACAAGCTTAGTGAGTTTTGTAAGTGATTACACTAGCTATTCATGTGCAATATTTCTATTACAATACCATCTTGCTCAGAAAGCAGAACCAAAACTGAAGCCTCATTTTGCAAGCTTCTACAGAACATACAGTTATAGAACATTTTCTATCCCAGACAATGGGAGATGCAAGGTAGGAGCACATGCTAAGCCTGTTTTACCTAAAGGCACACAGGACAGGTGCCTCTCAAATATGTCAATTCTTTCAGCTAAAAACAAAGCAGATATGCTTATGAACTGCAATTTTTTTAATACAATAATCAGATTTTTTTTGTACATTTGAAGATAAAAACGTGTATGGACAGAATGAGTGTTTTATGAAAGCTGACCTCTGAATGTGTACAGAAAGAACACAAGTATGATGGCAACCAGGAGTCAGTTTTATTATTACATGAAAATGTTAAATACTCCCAGTATTTAAACTTTAAATAAACTTCATGCATATTCTTGATATGTGATAATTTAAAGCAAATGAAAACTTGCTAGTGATCTATTTTAATGTCAAGGTATATTGCTTACTGCCCTCCAGGAATACCCTGCACTTCTGATATTCATCAACTTTTTGGGCTATTCTAAATTCAGCAGCAACACAATTTTGTCCAACAAACGTCTGTCAAGATCATTAACAGACCAACAAAAGAAATACCTGAATATTACTTAAAACATTTATATATCCTCTTTCTTTGTTAAATATTAATTCTTGTAAGTAATTAGAACAAAGTTCCGTAATAGAAGTATTGCCAAATAAATGGGTGTTACTCCATTCCATGACCTCTTGACTCTGTTATAGTCATATTTATTAATGTTTACTGAGTATTTCTTTGCTAACATTTATGAAAAATGTTTCAACAACTCCAAAATAAGATGACACTGTTTTCTAGTAAAATAATCCACAATATAAAGATGGTTTATTAGCTGTATTTTCCTTAATTATAGGAATATGAAAGTTTCCCTTCAAACTAGGTTCTCATTTAAAATAAAAACAAAGCTCACCAAATTTGAAGCTGCAAGGCATCTGTAATATTGACAATTATTTTAAAAGACACTGGTTATACAAATCTCTATTTCTGCTAAGACATCAACAAAATAGTTCTTGGCATGTATACCTGTCAAAATAATGCTCTACTTTCTTAACTTCTTCTACAGGTTCTTCTTTATCCAAAATCTCTCGTGCTTGAAATTTTCGGTCTTGTAGGTCATAAAGCATCACAACCAGCAGGCTGGTTAATTCATCTGGCTGCAACAGAGAAGCAACTGGATAGAGAAAGTGACACACAGGAAGCCTTACTCCTTCAAAAAAGATCCGTAGCAAACAGCAGTCTCCCACGAGAAAGGCATTAAAAACTCCAATGAAACCCTTATTTGTGAGAACACGAAAGTAATTCCTCATGGAGAGTCAGTAAAACACTGAATAATTTTTTAAAAACTCAAAATACACAACTTAAATGTTGTTTAGCTTATCAAAATTTAAAACATTCTCCTTACATGACAATAAGAAGTTCTATCTTAACAACTTATAATGTTATCAAAGTTTATATTTTGAAATTATTTTTTCCTCATAAAGTAGTTTCTTGAACAGCTAAGCCAACAAAAACTTCTTGTCTTTCAATTTGTCTCTTGTGGTATTCTTCAGTATTGTAACAACCAATAAGCTCAGTTATCATAACTATTCTGCAGTTGCAACATATATAAAATCTCCTTCCTATGTCTAAATGTTTAAAACAGTTTAAAACTCCTTCTAAAGGACAGTAATTAACAGCACTTCAGTTACTCTTGTCTACCTGTTTTCATGGAATTACAACAGTTCTTACATCTTAAAAAATTCTAACCTTCTCACAAATACGACCACAAGCAGCTAGAAAACTTATTAGGGAAATACCACCAAATACAAAATGTTACCATGTGAGTCTTACTTCCTTACAAAAACAAGAAAAAAATCAAGTGTGATAGATTGTTTGTCTGCTCACATCCATCTCCACAAATGACATCAGTTCAGATGCATCTTGTAATTTTCAAAGGCATAAAAGACTAAATTGGAAGGAATAGCCAGCTCTAGATTTTATTTTCATGTTAAAGCAGGAAAGTATGTTGAGAGAGTAAAATGGATCAATTTTTCCAGTACAGGTGCAATACTTGTGTGCAATACAGTGCACCTAGGAAATGAAATGGGTTCAATACATTCTTTTATCTGATGGGGTTTAGTCCATGCTTTCCAACTCCCAGAGACAGGAAAGGAGCATGACTTTTTTTCCCCACTCACAGGCTGACACAGCTGGGAAAGAAAATTCATGGAACACATCACTGAGCAAGTTTCACACTGCAGTAAGTGCTATAGTTCACTTTTCTACCTTCTTTCTTCGAAAGTGTTGATTCCTAGCAGTAAGGTGTACCAGGAATTTCAAAAACAACATTATCTAGCATCCTGGAGACTGGTGCTTTAGACAACTAATAAGAAAGGACAGTAACATTTCAGTCTCAGGCTACCATATAGTTCAAAGCAACACATGATTTTTGTAAGGATGTTGCAGAATCCTCTGACAATATTCTAATTGCATCAACTCAGAAAATACAAAATCTATTTCCTCACTAAAATGTCACTTACTATGAAGTAGCATGGGTAAACACCACTATCTAACAATACTTCCTCAAGAAGATCTTGATCTGCAAAAAAGAAGAAAATATTGGCAATTTACACTATGAAATCTACAAGATTCTATGGAGAAAAAAACAACAACTTATAAATTGCTAAAAAATAAACCAAAAGTTTAACCATAATGAAAATTATGGTCAAACACAATTGCAAATTAACAAATCTATATAACTTCTTTACAGCAAAAAGTATAGAGTTTAAATGTTTGATTTTTACAAAATGCTACCACTTAGATATATTTACATATCTGAGGGATATGAGTGGTCTAGTAGTAACCTGCAGTTTAATAAAACTACCCAGATCTCTGCAGGGGGATCAGGCAGAAACTGAAGACTTTGTTTTTACACACATTCTCTGCTATATAATTTCTCTTGGCAATTTTTGGAAAGGTCTTGTACTTACATTTTAGAGCACTGAAAGCCAGTTCATAGGATACACGCTGGGAATAGTCATCTTTGAAAGTCAGTGTGGGAGGCAATGAGTCATCCCCATACCGCACCAACATTTTATCCTTAGGCTTTTCAGTACGAATGCCTTGGAAAATCTTAGCTGCATTCATGTATACGGCGTCGTGATAGCCATTCCTCCCAATCACAGTCATTGTTCTCTTTTCAACAGGTCCTTTTTCATCTGAAATCTTTTCACTAGAGTCTGAAGTATCATTTGTAACATCCTCACGTAAAGACACCATGTTACTTTTAGAACCTGGCTTTTCTCCTGTTGCTGATTGTGTAACTGCAAGTGACAATCCTGCCTCTGAAAAAAAAAATATTTGTATCAAATTACAATATTTTCTTTCACTGGAATAAACTTTTCCCTTCATTTTCAGGTTTTCAATAGAATTTATTTCCTAGGCTCTAGTCCCATTTATACACATATCATCTATACTTACCATAGAATGTCTTGGGTTGGAAGGGACATCTAAAGGTCATCTACTCCAACCCCCCTACAATAAGCAGGGACATCTCACACTAGAACAGATTGCTCAGAGCCCCATCAAGCCTGACCTTGAATGTCTCCAGGGATGGGGCCTCCACCACCTCTCTAGGCAACCCGTTCCAGTGATCCATCACCCCCATATTAAAGAACTTTTTCCTAATGTCCAACCTGAATCTACCCTTTTCTAGCTTAACACCATTACCCCTTGTCCTATTGTTACATGCTCTTATGAACAGGTCTTCTTCAGCCTTCTTATAGGCCCCTTTCAGGTACAGGAAGGTCACTGTAAGGTGCCCCCAGTGTCTTTTCTTCTTCAGGCTGAACAGCCCCAACTCCCTCAGCCTGTCGTCATAAGAGAGGTGCTCTAGCCCTCTGATCATTTTTGTGGCCCTGCTCTGGACACACTCCAACAGGTCCACATCCTTCTTGTGTTGAGGGGCTCCAGAGCTGGACACAGTACTCCAGGTGAGGTCTCACCAGGGCAGAGTAGAGGGGCAGAATCACCTCTCTCGATCTGCTGGCCACACTTCTTTTGATGCAGCCCAGGATGGGGCTGGCCTTCTGGGCTGCAACTGCACATTGGTGGATCATGTCCAGCTTTTGATCCACTAGTACTCCCCAGTCTTTTTGCCACAGGGTTGCATTCTAGCATGTCTTCCAGCCTGTACTGATATCTGTGGTTGCCCTGGCCCAGGTGCAGGACACTGCACTTGGCCTTGTTGAACCTCATGAGGTTCACTTATTGGCCCTCATAGGCCCACTCCTCCAGCTTGTCCAGGTCCCTCTGGATGGCATCCTTTCCCTCTGATGTAGTGACACCACCCTGCTTGGTGTCATCTGCAAACTTGCTGAGGGTGCTCTCAATGCCACTGTCAATATCGTTAATGAAATTATGAAATAACACTGGTCCCAGTACAGACACCTGAGGGACACCACTTGTCACCATTTTCAATATGGACATCAAGCCATTGACCACTAACCTCTAGATGTGACCATCCAGCCAATTCCTTATCCACTGAACAGTCCACTCAACAAACCCGTATCTCTCTCACTTAGAGAGGGATGTTGTGCGGGACCGTGTCAAATGCCTTGCAGAAGTCCAGATAGGTGACATCCATAGGTCTTCCCTTATCCACTGATGCAGTCGCTTCACTGTAGAAAGCCACTAGGTAGGTCAGGCAGGATTTGCCCCTAGTAAAGCCATGCTGGCTGTCCTGAATCACCTCCCTGTTCTCCATGTGCCTTAGCATGTCTTCCAGAAGGATCGGTTCTATGATCTTCCCAGGCATAGAGGTGAGGCTGACAGGTCGGTAGTTCCCAGGTTCCTTTCTACCCTTTTTAAAAATGGGCATGGTGTTTCCTCTCCTCCAGTCACCAGGGACTTCACCTGACTGCCAAGACTTTTCAAATACCATGGAGAGTGGCTTGGCTACTACATGAGCCAATTCCTTCAGGACTCTGGGATGCATATCAGGTCCCATGGATTTGTGTATGTTCAGGTTCCTCAGTTACAATCTTTGTCTTTGCTTATGGTGAGAGGGACTTTGTCTCCCTGCTCTCCGTCTTGTGGACCATCAACTTGAGAGCCTTGAGGAGAAGGGTTGCCAGTGAAGACTGAGGCAAAAAATTGTTGAGAATCTCATCCTTCTCCTTGTCTGTTGTTACTAGTTCACCACTGTTGCTCATCGGGGGGATATATGCTTACTTTAACCTTCCTTTTCGGGTTTACATACCTGTAGAAGCCATTCTTGTTTTCCCTTACATCCCTTTCCAAGTTCAGCTCCACCTGCACCTCGGCCTTCCTGACCTCATCCCTTCTGTCATGGTTTGGGCCTAACCTGACAACAAAGGAACAGCTGCATGGCCACTCACTCAACTCCCCCCACCTCACACACACACTCTGGGATAAGGAGGACAAAGCTCGTGGGTGTAGACAAAGGACAAGGAAGATTCTTCACTGATTAGGGTCCCGGGCAAAACAGACTCAACTTGGAGAAAAAAAAATAATTTAATTTCACGCTATTCAAACACACTCAGGACACAGACTATACACTGAGATTCGTTTCTGTGTCTATTAAAAAGCATTTTTATTGCAAACAGAATAGTATCACTCACTAGGAATTCTCCTTTAATAAAAAGGCACAACAAAAATTTCAAAGCAGCCATCATCTCTTCTAAAGAACCATCTGAGGTGCAGTGAATTCCACATGCCTGTCCACAAAGCTGCATATCTGTTCCTAAAAAATGGATACTAGAGATCACCTAAGAATTAATATATTTAATATATTACCTAAATAGCTCAACCTTAAAAGCAGAAAATCCATTCTGACAGTCTCCAAAGATATCATCCAACTCTCCATAAGTGAGTTTCTTAAATTTTCTACACATCTTACATAAACAATAAAATAAAAATTACTTTCCCCAGAAGCAGAAAGGGGCTTCAAGAAAAATAAAAAGCCCCAGCGCTGGTTGCATAAAAAAATATTTACTTAAATTCCACTTAAAATCTACTTAATGTATAGCCATACAGGGCTTGGATTTATCCTGTTTGCTCTGGTTGCTGTAACATCCATTTGGGACAATGCTTGGAGGCCCAGAAGTCAGGTTAAATGTTCAGAGGAGGGTTAATTAAGCCAAGACAAATTTAGTCACAGAGGAAAGATTAGAAAAAAAACAATCCAACACTAAACTAGTTTTTGTGTCTGGAGAAGAATACAAGAGAATTCTGAGGAATTTAACAGCTGTAGCACAGAAAGAACAGCATGGATCTGATACTGACAAATATATCCAGATATCTTAACAGTACAGAATAGCAGAATTTGTTCCTTTTGCCAGTCTAAAATTCAAGGGGTAGTGATATCCTGACCAAACAGAAAGCATCTTCTCTTTTACTACATAATTGAGCTCAGTACCACCATTTGCATGTTTTTTCCCAACACTCCCCCACATTCCTCAGGATAAATTACATGCCTCTTCTACCTGGATCAGACACACTTGCTCAGCAACCTTTTTCCTCTCCCCTTTCCTGCCTCCAGCACACAAAACACAGTGGGAAAGGAGGATGGCAGCACACAGGATTGGAAGGGAGGAACACAAGCTTCTACCTCTCCAGCAGGCAGCCATCAAACACTGAAATTCTTCCTAATATCCAACCTAAACCTCTCCTGGCATACACTAGCAGCAAGTCCTTGATAGCCATATACGGTAGCGTTTGTCGTGCTAATTGTATGGGCACACACGGCCACACCTTGGTTGCCACATCAGCTGCGACTGCTGCACCAGAGCTGCACGGCTCGCAAAGCTGCTGCCGGCCCCGCTCTCAGGTAACCGGGACGGCGGGATCAGCGAAGCCGGGAACTCAGCCCCGAGAGCCTCCCGCCCTGCCTCAGCTATAAGGAGCAGCCCGCACCAGCTCCCGGCACGCAGCCGCGCCGAATTCGCACAGAAATAAATAAACACAAACATACGAGGGGTCTCTGGAACACCTTGAGAAGAACCAGCCCCTCCCAAGCCACGCAGGTGCGGACCCG